TTTGTTGCAAGTCTCCGATTTTTTATGACCCTACACGAAAAATTCAAATTTTGAGTGATTTCGGTTTTGAGCTTCTATCTCCTTTATTTGTATACATTAACGAACAGTTCAGGTACAAATGCAAAGAGCATGAGTTCCTCTCTTGAGTAAAATTTTGAACGTACAAATTCCTCGAGAATTTAAAGAGTTATGAATTTTTAAAAATCGTGCGCAAGAACTTTCGGAGCGACCTAATATATTTTACGCAGTGCGTATTATGAGGAAGATAAAATCACAGTCATGCATGACGACTTATGCTGTCGGGAGGATACAGTATCAGTATAACACAAAATGCTCCTTGTTGGGGTACTGGAGCCGAAGCTATCTGAAAAAAAAAACAGAAGAAAGAAGCATTGTGCTCGGCGAAATACGTGACCAACATGCAACATTGTCAAACAAAGAAGCGGAAAAAAGTTAGACAAGAGTCCAAAAATTTGAGAGTCATAGTTCAAAATTCTTGAGACTCGTACGGAATTACCAGCTTTGTGTTACACAGCGAAAAAAGCCAGGAGAGAAAAATAAGTCTTACACATGCTCGAATTGCAAGCACTCTTTTTTCAGCCAACCTCAGGAAAAGATTCAAAAATGCGGGTTGATTGATATCTTATGTGTTGGTACTAAATGTTTTGAAGAAAAGCTGTTTTTCTTTTTTGCTTTTTTTTACAATAAAGTTAATAGCTTAGAAATCGCATCATAAATTCACAAAATATGGATGACGAGCAAATAAGTATCCATTATTCCAGTGTTTTGTCTGAGTAAACCATTAGAAATTATCTGCGAATCCTGCTTCGTACCAAATTTGCTTAGAGTTTAGATGCAGTTGCTGGAACGATGTGTTTACAATACACTTTCGAAAATTGCCATTGCTGTGAAGCGCTTAATTCAATTCCCCATCTTTTTGTTGTTAAGTAAACAAATGGCGTGTGCAAACAGTTGCAAAAAATATGTACGCTATTCCCTAGCAATGTCCAGGTACTCTTGCGATTCAGCTGTGTTTTTATAAGCCCTCCTTATTGTCGCTTTGCAAACAATCAACATCCGCTGAGACTAGGAAAAGCGATACTTGGTAGTAAATAATAGTGCTAGCTAATGGTTAGAAGGAATGAAGGTATACAAGACTGGAGCAGAAGCAAGTAACATTCACGCGTCGGGAAGAAAATAATGCATCAACCCTACTGTCTTTCCAGAAGTACATAACTGTTACGGTAAATAGTCAGTACAGGCTGCTATGGAAGCATTACAGCTGTGTATCATATTCCCAATTTTTTTTTCGAAAACGAAAAAGAAAAAAGTCAACAAAGAAAAGTTTAACCTTGGCTAAAACATGTAGGCTAAAAGATTACACTACGTCTCTGCATCCAAGGTGAATTGCCTTTCAAGCGAAATTGAAACAAGTGATATCATAATTAATTATTTATCTCAATTTGTTCATCAGCTGAGAAGGAAAAATGACTTTTCAAGAGCGATCAAAAGTTTTTTTGTAATTCCAACAAATTATTAGTTAGCCCCAAAAGTGAACGCTTTTCCAAATAAAGCTGTTTTCGTTTTTCTAGCAGGCTTAGGATTTCATTCGAGCGGAGCAAGCTCTCAAGATAACAACAAACATCCACCCGAGTCATAACCAGCTAAAATTTGGAGCTAGATATCATAGTCGCTTAAATAGCCTAAAAATCGGATCTCCTTCTGGAATTCCTACGAATCTCTAAGTCATCATTCAGTAGACACGCTGTGGTAATCAAAAACGCATCTGCTGGATTTTTTCCGCCATAGAAATCGAGACAAAAAGGATAGTCCAAAAATGGCAAACTCTGCCTCGATTCCTTCCACACATGTGATTGTATACTACAAGCCTAAAGTTGTACCTCTATTTGTTTTCTGGCAATCGAGGAATGCCAAGTTTGACATAAAAAACCAAAAAAGTGACATTTTTGCATTCCGAGCTTTTCATTTTTTTATTTATGGGCCTCGCAAAAAATCTAGCAATTGCATGTTTGGTTACTAATATGTGTTTACTGTCTGATATCAAAGCTGTAGGTCCGCTAGACTCTCCTGGAAGTAGACTTTTTGGAATAGGTTAAATTTCAATTTTTGGCTCCATTTCATCTGGATTTCGACTATTGTCAATGTTTCTTTGATGGTCTTTTGTAGAGATTGCTCGAAATGTCACCTTAGGTCTGCTAGGAAAACAAGGACAGCTCAATATATACAGAAAAGTTGTTCACTTTTGGGACAACCTAATACATCGATTTTTCCCATATAATCATTATTCCCACAAAAACTAATTTTACTACTATCAGGGTAGTTTCGTCATCATTGCTGAACTTTGCTGGATTTGCGAGAGTTTTTTATTCTTCTGTCGTAACTACCCACCATTCTAATGCACCTCACTGCATCGACCAGTACCGTGAGTCACGCAATTATCGACATCGCGGTTGTTATTTGTCTCGAAACTTACCGTCCCGTGCCATGAGTGCATCCTTCTATTACATAGGTGTACTAACTCTGTCTCGTATCCGATCATTCAATAACAATAACTTTTCCGGCGGTACCTTACGGTAGCGATAGAAACAAGGTGCCAGACTTCTACTCTGATCAGCCATCCCCTGACACTCGCTAAAAATTCGTTTTAATCCTTCACGAAGTTCAAAATAACGCATCAAACATCTTGCTGAACATTGAATGACACATAATGTCCGTCACCTGTTTGACTGCCAACTACCTCAGCACCTGTTGCTAATCCCATAGAGCCATGGCTCACAAACACAGCAACTGTCTTCATTGTACACCAATAATCCGCTTTGCTTTATAGATTGGACTTCCATTGTGTCTCACGATTTGAGCTCAAGTGTTTCTCTCCACACTATCCTATAAGAATGGATAAAGGTTGTAACGGAACTCTCGAGACTTTCCATTATAACTACTTATCGAAATAAGCACATCACCGTAAGAAGGGTTCAAATCTCGCATCACATCATCATTGCCTTGTCGCTGTCCCATTTCTCCCTTCGCTTCGATTTTTTACAATATATTACTGCCGGAACTGGTCGTACGGTGTGTAACACTGGCGACAGCGTGGGTCGTGTCAAACTACAACATTCTTTCAATCCCTATTTACATTCATTTTCCGTATAGATCAGCATTCTTACCTCAAATTTTTGGGTTGACTCCAAATGTGTTTTTGAAAGGATATTTCTCGAAGTGGATTTCTTGCTACGTCTTGCTTTCTGCCTCCATTATACAGGGTGTCCGTAAAGTATGTATACACTGTTTGATCGTTAATATCTCTCTTCCCAAGAAGTCTTTTGCCTTGCTTCAAGTACCGTTTTGTAGAGCTGGCTTCAACTCAGATTTGCATTATAGAACGAATCACCCATCTCTCTTCGTTACTGTAGGATTACGGTAGAAACTTGAAACATATGGTGTCAATGTGGAAAAAGTTGCCGTCTCAAAATTTTTCAAAAAAATGTGAAAGCTTGTGTAATAGGGTTTTTATGGACGCTGAGTTCAATACTCAACTATTCACAAGATTGCGAAGCTTTCTAAGCGGTGTAACCGCACTTTTTAGGAACATTGGAAAAATGGCCGCTACCTCTTACCTGGCATAACTCTTCAGTGAAGCATCATAATAAGTTGGAAACTTCACAGTTAGAATCAACAACTCTAATTAGCCTGGTGTAAAAGTTTTCAGGCAGTTTTGTTTCTTTTCTGAGGCAAAATATGGCCTTTCATGGCCCAAAACCCTCTTTGAAGTCTCTACCGTAGTCCTACAGTAATAAAGAGAGATGGGTGATTCGTTCTATAATGCAAATCTAAGTTGAAGCCAGCTCTACAAAGCGGTACCTAAAGCAAGGCAAAAGACTTGTTTGGAAGAAAGATATTAACGATCAAACAGTGTATACATACTTTACGGACACCCTGTATTTCTCGATAGTAGTGGCCAGAATGTATTTTGATTTCTGGTCAGTGACCCTAACTTTTGTTCGGGTATTTACATTCTTCTACATTGCTATAATATATAATCAATGACTTGCAATAACGTCTTGTCACCAGCCCTCATTGATATGTGTGAAACACATTCGATTTAATCATTGTCTCTCGCTTATTCGAAAACGACTTGTTTTACATTGTTTTCTCATTTCACTTTATTCGCTGCAATTTGAGCGTCAAATATTGGGTTGTCCCAAAAGTAAACGAACAAACTCCTTTCTAAATAAATCATGCTGTTTTGGTTTTTTGGCAGACTTAGGCTGACATTCAATAAAGCGAAGCAAGTTCTAATAGTTGATCACCAAAGATCCGCCTAAGTCATAATCCAGGTAAAATTTTGAGCCAAAATCGTAAAACATATTATCACCTAATAATTCGAAATTTGCGAAGAAAGATTCTACGCATGGTCGAAGTAAAGTAGACACCTAGTATTGCGCAAAAATGCATTCACTGAATCTTTTCCATGCACAAAAAACGAGAAAAAAGACAGTCACTTGGGGGACTCTGCCCCAGCTCATCTCACATATGCGGTTGTATACTGCAAGCCTGTAAGTATAATCTTAAATTTGAAATTGTATGTGCCCTGGTAGTCGAGAAATACAAAATTTACCATAAATCCGAAAAAGTGACATTTTGCACTTTCGAGCTACTTTTATGTCTTAGTGTTGAGACCTACTGTATACTATATGTAGTCTTCTGTAGAATTATCAATTTGGATTTCTGCAGAAAATTTCTGGAAGGATATCCGATTTAGGGTATTTGGAAATTCTTTATTTTTGCTCCAAATTTTACCAGGGTTACGACTCAGGCAGACGTTTTGGTTATTTTATAGGGCTTGCTTCGCTCTATCGAATAGCTAAGTCTGCCAGGAAGACAGAAACAGCTGTTTTATTTACAACTTTCATGACAACCTGATACATGCTCTCAATTGTTTTCTCAAGTACAATTTTTGCGAGAGGGTAGATACGTTTCAAATGAATGACATGCGAGGAGATCACATATCGGTTGAATATCGATTGGATAAGTTTGTTTACTTTGAACTGAGTATGTAAGCTTTTTACCTGTATCAAAAAGCTGTTTGATTTATGCAACACACGACATCTTATTCTTTTTATACAATAAAATTATGCATGTTTGTTGATCTTTCCGTATTATACTTTGTTATACACTTCACCGTGCTACGTAAAAGCTGAAAAGTTCATTCCGACCTGATCTGAGATCATGTCATCAAAGCCAAGTCTAGGTCTCCATGTGAATTCCCTTACTTGTGTTGAAAGAATCTCAATTTGAGTATGTGAGGTTTCCGTTTTTTCCATGTATGTCCATACTCCAGCTAGAAAGGATACTCATAGACGAGGAATCTATGTCGTAAATCTTCTAATGCATAGCAATTCTTTTCCAGTAGATGATCACGCGTAATAGTTTCACCGATTGTAACAGTTGGCACGAGACACTTCTAGAATACATCACGATTTTCTGAGAATTGCCCATCATGGTGGCTCTTTCATATTGAAATATTTGAGACCACACGCAACATCTTTAATTCTTCGTGGCACACGTGGCACATCATCACCGTCTTTTCACAGAAGAAATTTTGGCTACAGCAGAGACCTTAACGAAAGCATTTCCCTTTTTGAGAGCGAAACGTGTGCTTAGAGATTTTTGCGTTTTTACTTTTCATTACAATTACAATGTCAGCTGATTCGCAATCCGCCTCTATAAATCACAGATTAAAGAGATCAACATGAGGATGCTGTTTTTGTTTCAGATTGTGTCAGTTAGACCACAACTACATGTTGTTGCTATTGCTTCTCACGGCAGTCTCGACAGTCCACTCGTTGACCTGCTACAATGTGAGTGCTCTTGGAAGTCACTATTTTACAACCAATCTCTAACTCTAGGGTGCGAGACTGTTGCGCACGTCAGCAGTGGGCGAATCAGTCGAAGAATGTCCTTCGGGCGCTTACTGCTACAATATGACAGCTAATGTCGCTTTTATCGTAGATGCCGTGAAAGCAGGCTGCTCTACTTGGAGGTGTCTGGTCAGTTCAGCCAATATTACATTTCGAAATATAATATAGGTTCGATTAACAGTTGGCACGAGACACTTGCATTAGCACCACATTCCAAATGATTCCGGTAAGCTTATGCTGCTGCAGTACTGATCGTTGCAATGTTGGCGAAAATCGTGCTTATAGGTGAGTCTTTTCTTGTTCAACAACTTGGTCCATAAGTCTTGCACCAAAATTACCTCAAAAAAACCACAATTCATTTCTAAAGATTCATTGATTTACTAAAGCTTGAGTAGGAAAAGTTATTTTAAAATGTATGTCAAAAGTGAGTCACGCTGGTATGTCAGGGAAGTACAAGCTGTTAAAGAGACAGTCAAACTGTACCCATGTTTTATTCCTAAAAAAACCCACAAAATTACGAATTTAATTTTGGTCGTGGTTCAATTACTCACTCTAACTAATTTGTGCTGTTCGAATGTTCGAATGCTGTTTAAGGATAGTTATGATTTTCGAGCTTTTAGTGGACATTTCGATTTTTTTGAATATCTCCGACATGCAGGCTAGAATGGAGCATTTGTTATTTGTGGCAAAAGCTCTTAATAATAGTGAAAACATTTCTCAAAAACCTTTTAACGAATCAAACAATTTGATGCAGGACTTACGGAGCGATCTAACACGAAGCTTGTAATATGCTATCATTGGCCAGAGAGATAGGTATCTTAATTTGTCCCAATACCCTGAGAGCTGGTCCTGTACCTAGATGCTTTCAGCTACGAGTGCTTATGCATAAAATTTTGCTTGATGCTTGGTTACTTCTGCTCAAAGCTCTGACATGTAACAAACTCTTGCAAGCTTCAGTGCAAAAAACAATTTTTTGGTTTGCTCTAACGCCAAGCTTTTGTTAAGCGCTACTCATACTTACGATTAGTGCTACTGCTGTTAGGGAGATTTTTGCTACAACACTTATTTAGTAGCATTGCTGGAGGAAATGATGGGGGATTTAGCCGAAATGGGGGAGACAGGTAAGTCCTTTTTCGCTAGCTGTGCTCCGTTCACCACTTGCCGTCGCGCAGCTTGGATGTGGCTGAATTAGAAAAGTATCGACTTTATAACCTTATTCAGCAGCAACACTGGAGGAAACACAAGAGGATCGGGAGGAGGAAATAACGGTGGAGCGAAGTAAGTATAGTTTACCGTAATCATGACACAATCCCCGTTCAAGAAAACCAAATACCACCTGACCGAAATGTCAGAGATGCTGAGAAAACAATAATCGTGAACAATAATTGTAAGTTTGCAAACTGCATGTGTGTCACCCAACAAATACTATTGCGTAACTGTACATTTTTGAGATGGCATTCACTACCCATTCTTTATGATTTGATTTAGGGCGATACTTTGTTCTTTTGATCTTGTTTGGAACAATTTTTGTTTTTTTAGAAGCGTTCGGCAATGGGAAGACATTTGCTAATTTCTGCTGAATGCATTTGGCCATCTATTGCATTTAGAAGTTTTTCAGGTCTCATTTGGTAGTAAGAGAAACAGTACAGATTTTTTAAGTGCAAATAAGCATCCTTCCCCGAAGATTATGCGTTGCTGCCATTTGTGTGCTATCTGTGCTCTCATTACGCTCAGTTCTATATGAATCTGATCCTTTGGGCTTTTAAAATAGTAATCAGCTCTCTATTAGAAGTGAATACTTAGGGAAAATGCATACGTACTGTTTAATACGTATGAACAAGTTTTAGGAACGCAAGCACTTTTTCAAAGCGTTTCCTTTGTTCAATATGTATAGTTGTTCCCGTAAAGCTGTACCCAAAACTCAATTAATTTGTGAAATAAATTCAACAACTTATCAGTTTGCTTCCGCATCGCAGAGAGTGTCAATCAGTCCCAAGTGACAGCTCAGTGGTTGACGTTGCATGGTTGTTGTGTCATAACAATTAACATGAATCTTTAGTGAAGAACAGAAGAAAGGATGGTTTGGAGGTCTATTCGGCAAGCCTGACCAAGGGTGTGTTCCGTTTGACATAATACTTTCCTATTTCTCACTTTATAACCAGTATGTAGGCCATATTCGATAAAAGATAGCTACTCCGAAACAGCACGATTGATTGTCTCTAAAAAACCAAAACTTTAGTACACCTCCACGATCGCCATCCGGCTCTGGCTCGGGAGGTGGTCACTGGGATGCAAAGGACATCGAGAACAAATTCAAGGGCTCCGACATTGATCATCATGGAGGTGGTGACGGTTAGTTTCCATCCGTTGTTGCTAGGATAACCTAAGCCCTGTCATCTTCACAATTTTCTTGGTGGACTCCAGTTTAAAACTCTTCCATAGATCGGTAAAGCAGATCGTAGATCGGTAAAGCAGGTAAAACGATAGATTATGTCGAGCACTAATAAAGTAGCCCGAGAAAAATGAGCTTGAAGAGTTTGTGCAAGCTTCAAGTTCTATAACTAGAAGAAAACGACAATTCCGAAGGTAGTTTACTCTATTTATATCCAACGCGTCCAGTTACTTAAATATGTGTGGATCTTCACAGCACTAGGATTTACGGAATAGAATGACATATCTTCTTTTTTTCTGTTTCGTTTTCTCGTCGTGTGCATGGCTGAGTGTCTACTATACCCTCTGATTCAACGGGATTGGCGTCTCGAAGACGACCGCTCGCGCCCACCGCAGTCTGCGTTTCTGTCACGAGAGTTGCTTATCATTCTCTAGCCTTTGTTAGGCCTCGAAACCTTGCCATATAGCCATCAATTTCATTAAATCAAAGATTATGTGAGAGACCATATGGGATAAGCTTTGCGTTTGTCAAAAGCTGAGTCAATGGGCAAGAAATAATCTTCCATTGAATATTATTACATACTTGATAGCCTTCAAATCGCGTGAATCCTTTCTGGTGCTTTAGTTAAGTTGTTGCACTTGCTTCCCTTGTTTACAGTATGCTGTCTATAGCAGTCATCATCGCGGAAGGAAATAATGATCTTTACATTACGCAAAACATGCGCGCATTTACTCAATTGTTTTCTCAATTTCTTTCCAATTGCGAAAACTGGAAGTTTGCAAATGAGTGAACCTAATTGTGCCTTTTAATCTTCATTGCAGTGTTTACATCAGCATTCAATATGAATAATGGAAGTAAACGAATTATCAAACTGTTCATTTTGAACGTCTCTCAGTATAGTGTGAACTATGAATTCAGGAGGAGAGGAAGTGTTTGAAAAGATAGATGTCCGCCACACAACTCGACCGCCACGAAGACTTTCTTCAAATGATAGAGCACCCAGCACCTCCAACGATCGACATGGAAGCACAGGAGGAGGTGGAAGGGAAATTGAATTGGATGTTTAACTATTTGCTTTTGAATTCTAATTAATCTTTGATTGCCTGTTCTTAACAATGTTGAATTTTACTGTTTGATGTAAGTACATAGACGCCGTAACACTAGTTAATTTGCATGCAAGCTCGTGAAACTTCAACTAGTTTCCTTGTGATATTTTCTTTGCTATGTAAATTCGTATTGTTTCTAATAGCATGCCCGGGTAAAAGGACGCTTGCAAGGTGCGCGAAAACCTGCGGATCATGCACTCATACCTTTTGTTCACGTTTTCCCGTCCAATAAAGTTGTCTTGAATGACAGTTTGTATCTTTTGCTTCTTCCAAAACAGGTTAGAAAACAGTGAAGGAGGCAAATAGCGAGCTCGGTAAGCGAAGTTGGCTGTGCATGAATACCCGCAAGGTCTTATATGGAATTAGCATCAGGTGCAGGCAAAGTATTAGGGTGAACGGTAAAAAATGGGACACTTACGAAACAACTGGAGGTTTCTCAAGAAAGAGAAGTGATTAGACTTTCCAATTTTGAAAAATTTCAGATTATGTTATTCTTTTTCAAACAATATCTATATCTATATATATAAGGTCATTTACATAATCAATAATTTTTATACTTACTGAAATGCAAAGTTGGTCACTTCGATGAATTATGAAGTTTGAGCAGTATCTGCGCAGTGAAACATGTGAGACCACCCAAAGCACCACTGCTAGAGGGGGTGGTGGGACAGCACCAAACCCACGACGGCTTGCTGGCCTCAACTTCCAAAGTCAGGAGATATGGCTCTGATAGAGCTTTTTACGCCGTGTCCATCCATGTGCAGCTTGCCTCAGATTTTATCTATTTTCGGAAAATATAGAGCAAAACATAATTTTTTGGTTTTTTATTGCGCCAAAAATAGCTATTTTTCAGGTTTTTTTCGCTTTTTTCCCTGAAATTGAAAAGAAATCTTAGGCATTTAACATATCGTTTGAAGAGCATGAAAAGCTCTTTCAAATAGTATGTTATTTGCTTTACGACTTTACGGTATAGCAGTGCAAGATTGAGAGTTGTTCAAAAAACACTGTCGGAGTTCTTCACGACGCCACGCGTACGGTTATGAGAGAGGAGCGGTAAAGCGTTGCCGGAATAATAAGCGAAGGTCGGTTATGTAAGCAACGTTTGAGTTGCAGTCTGCTAGTTATTGGTGAGACAAAAAATCTTAAAATATAATAAAAACCAATGTCCCATTTGTTTCTACAAAAGAAGTTATAAAGGATTTTCGCGTCAGTGGTCGCCCAAGAGAAATACGATTGAGGTTGCCTAACTTTCAAAAAGAAGATTGATTGAGGTGTTGCAAAGCTGAAATACGCAAGAGGAGTGGAACCTAAATTTGCATCAACTTGTGAAGCTATCGTGCAGGCCATCACACCATACCGTAGCGGCGGTTTTGGCATTCCGACCATAATTCCTTTGGCGCGAAAATCCTTCACAACTTTTTTCAGAGAAACGATTTGCAAAAACGGAAGTTATACTCGGAATCAGCACTCTAAGACGAGTGTAATGGTATGCAAGTCATCTCAAAAGGCCACTGACACCAAGTATTGCTCCTTTGTTAGGCAGATCTTTGATTACATAAAATCTAATGGCTTGTTCTTTGAGGTAGATGGACAGTAGCTTATAGTGATAATAAAAAATCAAAAGGCCTTGCCCTCGCGCATTGATCCTCAAGGAAATCGTAGTTTACAGCAGCACATACAATACGCTAGAGTGTGTAAAATTTCCGTGAATGTCGAGAAATTCCGAAAATTCCGGGAATTCCGCGAAATTCCCGAAATTTCGCGGAATTTTCGGAATTTCGCGACATTCACGGAACTCTTGCAAGTTATTTGGGTGGTATCTTATACATCCACATAACTTGTATTGTATACACACCCATATATGGGTAGAAATTCATTTAGTTTTGATCCGAGGTCTTCTATTATGTTCTGCGAACGGGATTTTGTTAGGGCGCAATCCAATACTCAGTGTAGATAGAGGGCTAAGATAAACATTATTCGATACAACAGCTTCGTGAGTTTCTTAGCAGTTTCTTAGCTTAGCTAAACATGGTGCAAAGTATCTTTTGAAGTAAAGGCGAGAATGGTTAGCAAACTTTGTTAGAATCGAAATCTACCTGAAATTTAGCCACCTTAACTCTACGAAATGAAGCTGTCACGGAGAGTAGATGTGTTTTTGTAATCAGCAGGTCGAATAACCTCTATGCTCAATTTTTCTAAGAAAATGGCGCCATTTGATTTTTCTCGATTTTCGCTTTTGACCTCGCCACTGGTTTTGGCTGAAGCATTGATAATCTTGAAATCACCCGAAACCCCACTCACAGTAGTTTTCAAACCCACTGTTTACGAAATCTTAGTGAATTCGCGCTAAAGACTTCTACAGTGAAGTTCCAAATGGAAAAAATTTAGTTGAACCATGCAAGGTTGAAGATTCGTTGGCACTTCTCGCCCGTCCATCAAAAAACTTGCGTGTTTTTGTAAATTACAATCTTTGTAAAGAACGCTATCAGGCTGTGATTAGCACAGTTCATCTGCACTTCTCGTCAGATTATGAGGTTACAAACTCATGTTCTCGTGAATTTTTACGCAAGTTTGAGAACCTTGTATTTTGGCGGATTCTCATCCATAAAATGTGTCACCAGCAGCAAAACAATGTAAAAATTGTTGTCAGCACATTGAGTGATCCATTTGAGCGGAAATTTGAAGATTTACATCACACATGCAGTCAAACAGTTATGACTTTGGAATGTGAAAATTCTCGGCGATGTCGGCGATGTCGGCGATTTTGCGTTTTTCGCCGACTTTGGCGAAACATCGCCGAACTCGCCGAGAATTTTCACATTCCATTGTCACAATTGTATGGCATTGTCATAACTGTAGAAAAGCGTAGAAAAGCTTACAGATTACTTCAGCATAAAGATTTGGATGAAAAAATTTACACGGGGCTTATAGCGGTCATCTGCTAGCAGCAGAGAGAAATCATTGTTTCACCAATTTATTAGTCCCTCCTGTGTAAGCGATGCCTACTTCAAACTGCATATGGGAGGCTACAAAAAAAATATGGCGTATTCAGATGCGAGAGAGGTGTCTGACGTGATTTTTGGAGGAATTACGGAGCAATTTTCGAGGAGCCGATTTTATGGCCTCAGCATGCTTGTTGGGGGGCTAATAACATTGCGAATAATACAGATATGAGGCTGGGGTTTGTTTTATTAAACAGTTATCTGAAAATATGATTTTTAGAGAAAAGGACGTAGATAACAATTTTCCAATAAAAGTGTCTAATTGACAGCCGAACTTGGGAAATCTGTCAATAAGGGCGAGTTTGCGCCCTTATATCTCTACTGCAGGGCTGGGGTAATGCGATGTGGTCACAGACATGTAGTTTTGGTAGCTCTATTTTTCTAGAAGTAGCACGTGCCCGTAGCTCTAGCGTTGGAGGCGCTATATAACGGCGATGATGCATATTTTGATTTTTATCTCCGTGGAGAGTAAGGATGACGGGCTGGGATAGCCATTCTTCTATTCGTAATCGAGGAGAACACCACATATAAATCGGAAAAAATGCAGAGGCTCCGTCTGTGGGAGCCCATTTACAAAACTTCCCGGACTTTTTTTAGTTCAGGCTCTCGCAATTTCTCCTCTTTCTCCCCGCTTATTTTTTCCCTTTCTATTAGGTCGTCCCGAAAGTATTTTCGCTTTTTTCAAACGGTTGCCACATTCGCTGGAACAAAGATTCAAAGGAGGTCTTGGTAGCATTCGATGCAGCATTTCATTCTTTTTCCAATGGTTATGAAATTATTGCAAAACAATCGAAGAGCTTTCAGAAAATTACCAAAATCTGCGACTCATGCTTTTTGAGATGGTCATGTTTCACGATTTTTTAAAACTTCCATATCAATCCTCACAAGGAGTTCAAGTAACGATTCGATAGAGTAAACCTCATAGAATACAGTTCTATTTTTTTCTCTTTCTCGTAGCTCGCCGTAATTTTTTAAAAGATTTTTTAACAAAGCCATCGGATTTTGGCAGTCCCACCTCAGCCACAATCGGATCAAACATCAGTAGTTATTCGGAATTTCAAGCTTTCAAGATGATATATGACTTAATATTGAATTTATAAAGCAAATGAGAGTTCACGGATTCGAAATATCAAATTTCGAGTTTTCCGGGTACAGCCTGGGGCTCCTTAAAAAAAAGAATTGTGATGATTTTATCTCCGAAAACTAAACGAATTGGAAACAAAAAACACCCATTAGAAAGGGAGAAAATGCTGCATCAAGCAGCACCCGAGCTGCTCTTCCTTTGATGTTCTACAAGGATTTAGCTGTCCATCTATGGAAATCGGTAGCATTAGTTAAAATTCTATTAAATGTGTGACAGGCTACGTAAAAGAGAAAAAAGTTGCACTGTATTCTGTGAGATTTACTCTATCGAATCGTTACTTGAACTCCTTCTGAGGTTCGATATGAAAGTTTTAAAAAATCGTGAAACATGACCATCTCAGAAAGCATGGGTCGCAGACTTTGGTTATTTTCTGAAAGCTCATTTAATGTTTTGCAAAATTTTTATAACCGTTAGAGAGAGAATGAAATTCTGCATCGAACGCTACCAAGATCTCTTAGAAAAGGTTTGTTCCATCGATTGTGGCAACCGTTTGAAAAAAGCGAAAGTACTTTTGGGACGACCTAATATATTATTGCAGCGCGTGTGATAGTTACTCGGCGGCTATCTGGACCTGGTTAGGGGTCTGAAAACGGCTAGAAAGGGGTAAATGGGGTGAAAAACGCAATTTTAACTTATTTTCTTTGATTTTGGTTGATGCGAAGTGGAAAGTGGGCGGAGCTTGTTTGGAGGAGTTTCAGCTGTACAAAAGCACTGGAAATGAGCTTATTATAGAGTTTCTCGAGTTTTTTTGCGTAGTTTTTCGCTCATTTTACTGATTTTCGGGATTTTGCAACCTTTCAAATATTAATTCTATCGATTTTTGTCAATTTTTGTGATATCGATTTGTGTTGATTTTCGGGATTTCAAAGCCTCCAGAATAACGATTCTATCAATTTCTGAGGACTTGGTGGTTCACTAACCTCCAAAATATCTTTTTCGCTTTTTAGCTGTGAACTGTAAGGCCCACTTATGATGTTACTATACAATACCGCTCACAAAATGTGCAAAATTTCCGTGAATGTCGCGAAATTCCGAAAGCTTTGCGAAATTCTGGGAATTCCGCGAAAATCCCGGAATTTCGCGGGATTTTCGGAATTTCGCGACATTCACGGGACTTTTGCAAGTCATGTGGGTGGTATTGTAGAAACAAACCCCTTCTTAACTTCAAATATCAAAGCGCATTTTCTCGTTGAAGATTTCTTGTAATTCTACTGTCTTCGCCTGCGTGTTACCTGCGTGTATTTCTCCGTGCTCTGGACAGAGAATTTGAGTACAATAATGTAACCTTCGTTATAGATTGTGTCAAATAGGCTATGCCAAAATGTTGATACTACTATTTTTCACCATAATTCCAACCGTCTCCTCGCTTACCTGTTACAATGTAAGTGCTCTGCTCTCTATGGTAAAGTGAGGATGTCTGATAATTCGTTGATACAGGGTGGAAGGCTGCTTCGCACATCAGCAGTTGGCGAATCTGTCGAAGAATGCCCGTCAAGTGCTTATTGCTACAATATGACAGCAAACGTCGCCTTCATCGTAGATGCTGTGAAAGCCGGCTGCTCTACTTGGAGATGTCTGGTGAGCCAAGGCAACTTTGTCTGTCGATGATGTATATTGATTACAACAGCTGGCACGAGACACATGCATTAGCACCACTTTCCAAATGATTCCGGTAAGTTTATGCTGCTGCAGTCAGGACCGTTGCAACGTTGCCGGAAATCCAGCATATAAGTAGGTCCTTCTTTCAAAAGTTCAAGGGGAGGCTTCGCGATTCTTTTTGTGGTTTCATGATGCTGTTGCTCCGTAAGCGCGAGCGCGTACCATAGAAAGCGATTTTGGCAAAGTTGATTTTCAATGTCGTAAGATTTTCATAGAAAACTGTTTTGGCTGTAGTAACACTTCCCTCTCCTTTTCACTACGATTTTGCATACGCTGCTGTAGTGTCGGCATACGGCGGACGTATCGTAGGTACATAATGGGAGTACAGTAAAAAGCAGTTTAGCAGATTTCTTATTCTTTGTGTCGATAACACACTTGCATTCCGTGATAATGGCACAATACAGAGATGTAAATAGTAAATAGAAAGATAACTTTCAAAGCATTTTAGAATTGGTTAAAATCTGCGGTCGAGGTTCTGGCTTCCAACCGCCACTCTATTGAGCGAAGGGTATGTACAGTGCGGTTCATAATTATACGAACGCCTTAAGTTTTAGAAATTTCTGGACTATTTGGAAGAAACTCAAAAAGCCGTCGCTACCATGCGGAAGAACACAGCCGAAAACGGTATACATCCACAAGAATGGAAATTAATGTCAATCTCAGGAGTGTTTTTGCGCCTAAGGCAGGCGCTATACTCCTTAAGGTGTATAGCATGGCTACGAGCGATCGCCAATCGCCAATATTAGCGACTGTGTGTTTTATGCGTATCGATCGCCAACCAGTTATTACACGTTCAATCAATACGCACCCAACGTGTAGTCGCCAAAAACTGGCGATCGCCAATCGCTACGATCAGCGATCGCCAATCGCCAAAATCAAAGTTTTTCACCTTCCTTATTTTTAACGTTCTTATTTTTTCCTAATTTTTTGCTTCGTTTTCTGTTCTTTTAGTACGTTAATTTCATTGCGTCTGTAATTCGGATCATTAGGAAGTTTTAAAGGCTCTAAAGAGCCTGATAATGTACTTTTGGGCAATTTCGTGATATGCAAATTCTGGTGGTACACCACGCTTTTCTAATGATGAATCTGTTCAAAAATGGAGCTGCATGCAAGTCCAAGTTCACACATGACATTCTTGTTGAAAGCATTATAAAAAGAATCAGTCACAGAATTTTGGAAAAGAGCTTCTTAAAAAATCATGCAAAATGCTCCAGCAGTTTCACAATTTGGATCCTCAGTTTGAAAAAATTAAATTCACCTTCATTAGCAAATGAAAGTGAAACAGCGCTCACTATGGATAAATTGATTTCAAAGTAAACAATAAAGTGAACGGTAAACAGTAAACCCAGGAAGGCAACGCTGTTGCTAACTTATCCGCAAACCAATACTAATTTTTACAATCCAACGTCGATGTTATTTACCAGCGATAGAATATCGTGTACTGGCGACCGCTACCGTTGTCTACTGGCGATCGTCATCGTAACGACTGGCGATCGCCCGTTGCCATGCTATACTCCTCGAGAGTATAGCGGCTGCCCTACTTATTCCAGATGGCTCTAAATTTTGGAGTTATTGCGCTCCGTAAACGTCCATTTTTTTGTGGTTTACGCACTCTGACTAGCTTTTACCAAGTCTATGAGATAAAATAAGTTCTTTCGATAGATATTTTGTTTGGCGCTCGGAAAATCTTTGCATTTTCATGCCGTTTTTCAACCAAGTTTCAACTTACCCTAGAGCTGGCACAATTTCGAGCCTCAAAACTCAGTTTTTATCTCGCGCAAACATTTGATATGAAGCAGCTGCACTGCTTGCATGATGATGTATCCGTGCTAAAGTTTTTGGGGTTTTTTGCACAACTAGTCTTGAGGCTACGGAGTTAAAAACCAAATAAAGGGGGATTGCGATAGTAAAAAGAGTGGTTTTGATGAAATGACGCCTGTAGCCAAAACAAATGCTCCACGTTGCTGATTTATTCTAGCCAAATACAATATCTTGTGAACTTCTACATACTATGTGCTTACTTCATTGCAGAGCTTCAGAAGCTGAGTTTTGAGGCTCGAAATCGTGCCAACTCTAGGTTAAGGTTGGATCTTGGTTAAAAAACGGCACGAACATGCAAAGATTTTCCGAGCGCCAAACGAACTCGTGGACGTGGTAAAAGCTAGTTAGAGTGCGTAAATCACAAAAAACGGTCATTTTTGGAGCGCAATGACTTCAAAAGCATTTAAAGCCATCTGGAATAAGTAACGCTCCTCTTTTTGAACTGCACTGGGTTTATGTGTAGCAGATGTTTCAAAGTTTGTTACTGTAACTCTAGAAAAAACTCGGACTCGAAATATTGCACTTGCAAATGAAAAATGGACCTTTGTTTGAGGTATTCGTATAATTATGAACCGCTCGCATTAGGCAGCTGCTATAATCCTCGAGGAGTATAGCATGGCGGCGGGCGATCGCAATCGCCAATATTAGCGACTGTGTCTTTTATGCGTATCGATCGCCAACCAGTTATCACACGTTCAATCAATTCGCATCCAACGTGTAGTCGCCGAAAACTGGCGATCGCCAACGTTAGCGGTCGATATCGTATCGCTGGTAGGTAACATCGACGTCGGGTTGTAAAAATTAGTTGTTGTTCGTATAATTATGAACCGCTCAAATTTCGCATTAAGCGCGTAAACACTCCTAAGATTGACATCGATTTCCATTCTTGTGGATCGTATACCGTTTTCGGCTGTGTTCTTTCGCGTGGTACGGTTTTTTGAGTTTCTTCCAAATAGTCCAGAATATTTTGAAATGTGTTTGTATAATTATAAACCACACTTTAGTGTGGAACAAATTCTTTGATTCGTTGTTCTTCTAGTTCGCAAAGGCCTAGAGCGGCAAATTCAAAGTCCACTTTGTAGCATTACATACCAAAACATTAGCATAGCATTACATACTTTCATCCAGAGGTTAGTAACATGCCACAACTCTTAAAGCTTTCAAATACTCGGCAGGTGACCTAGCACGCTGTGTGCCTTATGGCAACACAGCAAAAACTGACTTTCATTTTTGACGACGGAAGGACGACATGACTCGACCCACCCTGATGAAGGGGCGAAACGCTTTGAATTACAAATTTGAGGACTGCAAACAAATCTATGACGAGAGAGTAAAAGTTTTGTGAAAATCTTGCGCGTGATAATGTCGCCATTTCATACCAAAAGTGTACAGGCGTACAGTGTGTAGGCATCAGCGTCAGTCTTGATAAAGGGCGTCCTAAAAATTTTATATAATATTTGTTCAGTAGCATCACTGGAGGAAACGCTGGAGGGTTTGGTGTAAATGGAGGAGACAGGTGAGCCAATTTTGTCTAGCCGCTCTTCAGTTTGAATTGGTACAATTATTGACTACTTTTCTCTGTTTAGAAGCAGTACTGGTGGAAACGCAGTAGGAGGGGATAACGGAGGAGCCACGTGAGTTCAATGTATTATAATGCGACAGAATCATAGGTGCGAGATAAGAATTGGTCGCAGCCCCTCCAGGGTGAAGGGTGTTTCAGTTGATCGAGAAAACTAAAATGTCGATCGGGGGGGGGGGGGGGGGAAGATGATGGTGTTCTCTTATTTTTATCAAAGTTTATCATTTCAAATTCTCTGTCATCATTGTCTTTTTTACCAAAATGTGAAAATTGAAGTAGGATTGGAACCACCCTGTATGTTTTCAAAATTACCATAGAAGATGTGTATGCGAGAACATCTGTTTCGGGAAAGAGGTAGACAATTTTAAAGCATTTACGAATTTTTAAAAGAAAAAAACCTGTAACTTCTGTAGATGATTAGCAACATCAGCATAAAAATTGTTTTCAGAACCATCTTCTCTTCAGCTTTCAGGAAATATATAGTTTGCTGGGACACTTTGAAAAAAGTTTAGGGGTTCTGAATTTCCGGATCTTCACGAATTTTGAATTAAAAAATTTCGTAACTTTCGTAGATGAATATATTATATGCCGAAATGGTCACCATTGGAACCGCCTCATCCTCCGCTTTCAGAAAATATATACCATGCCTAGGATTGAATACATACCTTGCCTAGGGTTATATACCTTGCCTAGGCTTTTTTAACATTGTAAAAAGACGTCTACTTGAGCACTCCCATTATGAGAGTCTCACCTACCCTTCACCCGGCACTTTTTTCAGCGCTCCCTAGGCATAGTATATATTTTCTGAAAGGGGAGGACGAGACGGATTCAATGGTGACCATCGCGGCGTACAAAATGGCCAGCTACAAAAGTTATGATTTTTTTATGTTAAATACTCGTAAGTGTCCAGTGGCCAATATTCATCAACGAACCCCGAGGGTTAAACTAACCCTGGAGGGTTAGTTTAACCCTGGAAAGCGTTTAACCCGTATTCATGAAACACAGGGTAGGCTTAACCCTGAGGGTTAAATCTAATTTTGAGGGTTAATTTTACCCCGAAAGCGACTAACCCGTATTCATCAACGAACCGTGAGGGTTAAACTAACCCTGGAGGGTTAAACTTACGTGATTCATCAGGGTTAATTTAACCCTAGCTCAGAGCAAGGTTAACTCTACCCTAACACTTCATACAAACATGTACTCGCATCTAATAGTTTATGGAAAACGATCAACGAGTCTTGTAGTATTTAGATTGGTTGTTGTTATGATATTTAGTTTCGACTTCGTTTTATGTTCATATTCGAAGTACATGAAACACTGACTTCGCGAGAAAAAAATTTTTAGCTTTGGTGACAAATGAATGCGACGAGGAAAGATGGCATTCCACTCTGACAAGTGCCAAAACAGAAGAACCCCTTTATAATAACACGCATTGACCCCTAAAAGAGTAGCACAAGCCCGGTGTAAAACGAACTGCGCAAAAGTAGAACTTACACTGCACAACTGCGCCATGAAAATAAACTCACGCTGTAAGATTGGATGCTGATAAGTATGCTAGAGATGTATCATAAAAACTAGTGTTAGAAGCTTATTCGTTGACTATACTACTATAACAGTGAAAGAATAGAAGTATAAAGTGAATTTAGCCCGTACTTAGGCATTCTGTGATGTGAGTTTGCACAGCGCACGCGTAACTGACGCTTTAACCCTAGAGGGTTAATTTAACCCTCAGGGTTGATGAATACGGCCGCAAGTTCGTTGATCGCTACGGGTGGATCGCGCTCCGTGGTAAACCCTAGCCTATGGTTGATGAATACGGCCAATGAGCCCTGAGGGTTAAACTAAGCCTGGAAGGTAAGCTTAACCCTCAGGGTTCGTTGATGAATACGACCACAGAAATCACTAGGCACACCTTCTACTAGATAACATTTGATTTAACTGGCTTGGCACCATTATAGCGGGGTTTTGTGATCTATTGAGGCCGCGCGCCCGCGACGCACCTGCGTCTCTCTCGCGCGAGTGCTCTCTGATCGTTACCTAGCGTTAATTAGGTCACGAAGCCCCGCCTTTGCCGATGCCAAGCCAGCTGAATCAAATGGTACTTCTATGAACGGACTCTAGGCAAACTATTTGATCCCTACAACCAGAGGGAACGTTGTACCACGGAACTTTCCTCGCTGACGTTACTGTGCAGCTATAGAAGCTACTATTTTTTCCTCCTGGAAGCTCGTGAATGCCTATGAATCTTCTTCCTCCTTTCCGATACACAAACAATTCCCGTACAAAATATCTCCTGCTTGACCTTACCTCACTGTTGACTCTTTCCTCGGCTTTTAATGAAAAGTGTCACCTTGGTTCCGGTTCAGGGGTGAAAGGGGGGTGATCAAATTCTTACACTATCGCACCTTTGTACAGAATGATCTGATTGAAACTGCCAGGCTGTGTTTAGTCAGGATGGTTACGGTGATGGTAATAACAATTATAATGGATGGGGCAACAATAACGAGGAGCAAGCGTAAGTTGCATGCAATGCTTTTAATGCAAATTTTTACTTGTGCATGGTGAATCCAACTGATTTGCTAAGGGTCGTTCCAGACTGCGCTACGCGACGTAAGCGTACCGCACACGTAAAGATGCGGAGCGTAGATTCTTTTCAACCCGGAGTAGAAGAACATTCCAAATTGAGCAGCGGTTCGAACCGCCACTGGCTCAGCGAGATAGATTAGAATGAAGAGACGCAGACTGCAAAACGCGCGGATCGTTTCGAAGCGGACTTTTGCCAATCCAATTTAAGCCTAAAGTCAGTTGAAACTTACTGTACGCTGCTACGTCACGTACGTCGCATACGCCCAAGAGGTCTGGCCCAACCCTGATAAGCAAAAAAAGTTTCAATTACTGACTATTTGCATGCGTCTATTTGTCATCTGAATTATGTGTTCATGACTTACGAGTTGTACCAGAATCTACATCGCGACACATCTAATAAATCTTCTTTATTAGTTCCTTTGATAGCGCAGGCCTTTGCGAAACATGTATCGTTAGACGTTCATTTTCAGAGAAAAATGTTCAGAATGTGCAGGATGTGTCAAGTCGGCACATAAGTTTTGCAACGTTTTCTTACAACTTTCGTCTTTTTGAATGTGGCGCTTCCATTCTTTGGTATTACAATGAGCAATGTAAGCAATGAAAGCATTCCTGCCGTCCACATCGCATTTAAGAGTAAGGCCATTGAATGGGAAAGAAAATGCGTTATGGAATCGGAAGAAACTTGGTCTAGGAGGATTATAGACATCCTGATTACGAAAATGGTATTCGTTTTGCGTGAAAGGATTATTCTGCTACCAAAAAGTTGAGTTACGAGCAATCGTTGGGCTAATTTCTGACCCCGACAACAACTGAAAACTATATTCGTGTTCAGCATGTCAAATTACCCTAATATACAAAGTTTCGCCAAAATCCGAAGATCTCTTTGGCATTGGGCAACTTAGGCGCTTTCAAATCTATCAAGTTCACGGGATCGCTAGATTTTGATTTGACTTCAACTTAAAATTCTTTTTCGCTGCCCTCAGTAGTCAATATCTGGGAACATTTTCTCTACAATTCTGGCTGAAAATGGTCAGTTTGCTTTTTGTACTCTTCGTTTTCGTTGACAAACCCTAAAACCTCTTTCTTAACTACTTTTACAAATATGCGTAGATGTTTTCTACATTGCCATAAAAAGTCAAACGGTTCGCGCAGGATTATAGCTCACTTCCGACTTCAAATAGTGCCAAAATTTGAATGCGCCTCATTCAAAACGAAAGAAGTCATGGACAAAGTTGCAAAGATGTGTCAACTTAATAATTCTTCTTCTAATTTCCTCTTTGCCTATCAAAAGTTTACTACAATCTTGTCAAACACCCTAAACTTTACTGTAATTATATGAATTGAGGATGTAGGAAAAAGACCAAAGGTAGGCACTGAGAGTTGCTATATCAAAATACGTAGGCGGCCATTGGGTCATTAAAATCTCGTGCCTTTTTAACTTACTGTAATCAAATGAGATAAAAAAAAGACTAAGCAATGGACAACGCAAATTTGTTTTTCTTTTCCAGCAGTTCTATTTTTGGATTGGTCGCTTCCGTGGCCACTCGAATCTGTCAATGTTTCCATCTTTTTTCCATGTAAACTTTAGTCACTTCGAAATCTTCATTTTCGCTTTTGAAAAAAATTTGATAACACACGGATGGAAGACATTTTGCAGTGCCATACTTTTGGATTTGTCCTAGCTCGTTTGGACATCCAAGTTAATATTTCGAAGGGACAAAACGCATTTTCGAAGGGACAAAACTCATTTTCGAATGGACAAAACCCAGGTCGTAGTCGTACCTCACAGAATATCAAGCACTTAAGCAGATCAGTATTATTCAATACTTATTTCGTAGCCAAATAGCTGACTTTTATTCTCAATGTGTCAAGGTATGCCGTAAAAATTACCACTATTAATTCTGCAGGTGTGCATTGTCGAAATCAAAATTCAAAATTCCGGTGAAAGCGCCGAGGCTCATTCACTCGTAAGACTAATGTCTGACAGTAAATCCTAAACCTTAAAATGAGTGAAGGACTATATGTCGCTGAAAGGAGCTAGTTCATGCGGACATGTGCGACAAAGCACGCAAGTCTACATGCCACAGGTGTTACAGCTTTGTACAGCTGGGGTGGAGCCTAGCGGCATCATATATTTGCAGCTTTTTTTTGTGCTTATATGCTAAATACTCATTTGTTCCAATCTAGTCCCCTAATCTCTTGAAAATCGTGAGAATCTTCGTCGTTTCACGACCATTCGTCACGCAGTTCAAAATTGAACATTTTTAGAGATTATAACTTGAGACCATGAAATCAACTGAAAGTATTTAAGAAACTGTTGCATTAAAAAATTTATTACTTTAACCGTCTGAAATCTAGAAGATTAGAATGACATACAGTGACCGCCAAAGAGTTGCGGAAGCCACCTACATTTCCTCATCGCTCATTTTCAAATGGAAAGGAAAGATGAAAAGATGAGCAAATTTACATGATAAAGCTTTTCAAGATCTAAACCCACATATATTTTCTAGAAAACAGAAATGGACGTGTCACAATATCGCGGGCAACAACTCTTCGATCGTGGAAATTTTCTTTTGGATACTTTTTAAGAGCGAAAAACACAAGTAATCCAAATCAAGAACTATAATCTGACTAAAGTTGCTTCCTAAAAACACAAGCTAGAATTTTGATTTGCGTTTTTTAGAAATTAACTTTCAGTTCCCTCTTCCAAACCAAATTCTTCACAAGGAGACCAATGCAAAAAATTCCAACAAAGCTTTCAGGATAAAAAGGATGCTTTTTACCACTATGCATCGGATGTGTGTTGGTAAGTTTCTTTGCTGGAAATGGGTCTTGGAAGTGGGCATGCTTAACCTCACCTGCACCTCACCACTGCCTTGTACCTTTTCGCAGGCTTGTACCTCGGCCATCGGTCAGCCCATGAACCTGTGTGCTGTAGGCTCATTCGAACGGGCGAGATTTCATCGACATAGCCATATGCATAAGGAAGTTAAAAAGATCCTGGAAATTTTGAGAATAGGTTGAAAAAGCGCAGCTTTAGTAAAAGACTAAAGATTCCAAAGCTTAAGTTGAACAAAGTCCTTTCGCTACCAGTTTCGTTCCGAAAGTTCAGAACTTACATTCTTGCACTAACTCAATTTCAGAGCTCTAAGGCTGTTTTGATGTCGGTAGGAGCCTTCATTCTAATCATTACTGATGCGCCTTTTCAAATCATTCTCGAAATCTCCAGGATTGAATCCACCTCGTTTGTATGTCGTCGAATCGTGGAAGCCTCGCTCTTTTGAGTGAGCTAATTTCAAGCTCATTGAGTACCTGGTGGCCGGGCTACAAGCCTGCAAAAGGGTACAGGTCAGTGGTAAAGTGCAGCTACGTAAGTCGTGTGCACGGACTTCCAAAACCCATTTTCAGCAGAGAAACTTACCAACACACGTCCGATGCATAGTGGTGAAGAGCATCAAATTTACCCAAAAAGCTCAGTTGTAATTTTTGCATCGGTCTCCATGTAAAGGAATTTGGTTTGGAAGAGAGAATTAGAAGTTATCTAAAAAATGCAAAATAAAATTCTAGCTTGCGTTTTTTATGAAGTAACAATAACCTAATTATAATTCTTGATGAGCTTTATATTATAGTATGCTTACCTGTTCGGTAGTTGTGTTCTCGCTCTAAAAAAGTACCCATGAAAATTTCCCGTTTGAAGTATTTTGTCTGAGATATTGTGACGCAGATAATTTTTGAATCTTTTGAAATCTAAGTTTCCCAGAAAATGTAACATGTATGTTGTAAACCTCAAAGAACCCTATCAACTCGTACAATTAGATCATTTTTCGTCTTTGTTTTCCGTCCGAAAATGAGCTATAAAGAAGGAGGGCGGCTTGTCCGCAGCTTACTCATAGTCATTGTAGATCCATGAGTCAAGACTTTGCGGTATTTGAGTGGCTTAGAAAGGAAATATTCTTCAAAAGTTTCATTTAATTACAGCATGGTGGTTATGCATGTCTGTAATGAATCAGTAAGTGACATAAAATGAATTTTTAGTGAAGCACCGAAAAAGGGATGGTTTGGAGGCCTATTCGGAAAGCCTGACGAAGGGTGTGTTTCTTCAATGATACATTTATGCATTTTACTTGGCAGTTCATAGTGGAGGAAAAAACGCAGAATGGCCACTGAGTTCTTTTTTTGGAAACACTAGTTCAGCACTCCACATCATTCGCCTTCCGGTTCCGCCTCAGGTGGCAAGTGGGATCCAAAAGAAATTGAGAGCAAGTTCAAAAGTTTCGACATTGATCACCGTGGAGAAGATACCGGTAGGCTATAGTTGCTGATAGTTCGTAAACATGATGAAGGATAACACTTTTTACAGTCCAGTGATGAACTGCAAAAGCGAATTTTATCAATTATATGAATTTACTTCGTTTACTAGTTTTCATAATAAAAAAGCAGATGTCAAAGAAATAACTTACATTTGGGCTCAAATCTGAGGGCAATGACAGATTTTGCAAACGGATTACAAGATCCATATACTTTGAAAGCAAAAGACACGTGTTTAGGAGGAGAAGAAGTCTTTGAAAAGATAGATGTACGTCATACGACTATACCACCAAAAGGACTTCCTGCAAACGCACGAGCATTAAGCAACTCAAATGAGCGACATGGAAGCGGAATACCCGGAAAAGAAGTTGAACTCGGCGTTTGAAGCAAATTATAATCAGACTTATATTGATCTTCTACAATCGGCACTACCTAATACTGTTGGATGTTTACCTCGGTTAAGTGCGATAATGGTAAGTTAGTACTTACGGTCATTGAATTATGGTTAAAAAGTCTAATGATAACTTCTTGTTATGTAAAAGATTGTTTATGTTGTTTTCTAATGGCATGCTATTTAATGAGACGCAATTACAAGTGTATGAAGACGCCTGTTTGGAAAAAATATTTTTTGTTCGCATTCACCCGCTTACAATAAACTTATTCTAATCGTCAAAATACAATTATCACTTTTTCAGCAATTTTGAAAAAATGAAGGAACGGCTGGTACGATTTAGGAAGAATGACTGCCCTAGAAAGGACATCAGCAAATGCGCACCTATGAATAAGTAATTGTAGGGGGGTTATATTACTGATATAACCGAGCCTCTCATGTAAATTTTTCTGCGCTTGTACTTATCATCCGCATTGTAGCCGCAACTTAATGGCAAATCTTGCAACCGACATTTGCCAAAATTTGTTAGAAGGAAAACTTCAGGTTGGGTACTAGACCTACTAATCATGCTTTGCACTTTTGAAGCTGTCACCAACTAAATGAGGAATCGGAAAAGAAAATAGCTGTATCACTGGATACGACAATAACATGAGAATGGAGCGACTGCATCTAATGCTCTGTCATCAACCTGCTATGTTTCATGAGAAGGACTGAAAGTACGGCATTTACAGGATTTGTGCTTTAGAGGCGGCGTCCAGGTAAATTTGGATATATGCTGATCTACGTGGAATGTAAATCTAAGACCCTGTAAGATTAACTAGGTCCAGATCTGGGACGTTACCTTCAAAGATGAAAGCAGGTTCAGTCGGTAAAGAGGCATGATGAAATAAACAATGGAATCAACAAGAAGAAACAGCACATAATTTCAAGTCTTGATCTAAATCCAGATCAACATGCACAGACGAATGCTTCTAACAGTTAATCTTAAGATTATGAGATCTATCCGAGTTTTGAAGAACTTCATTCATTGGAATACCAATGACAATAAAAAACCTCCCGATTCTTTTCTTAAAGCCTGAACATGTGTTTTCTTCGAAGATTGATTGCGACTTGATTTTCTATTGCGATTATATGTCAGATGATTCGTCGAATGTTTCGCGTTCATCAAAGAGTTCACTTACAATAATGAAGCTTTTGTTCTAGACTGTGCCAATCTGGTCATACCGACATGCTGTTGCTGGTATTACTCACCATTATTCTAACCGCACACTCGCTTACCTGTTATAATGTAGGTGCCTGACAAACTTATGAAATTCTGTAGTTATCTTTTGATCCAGGGAGGAAGGCTTCTTAGCACGACAGCAGTTGGCGAATCAGTCGAAGAATGCCCTCCAAGCGCTTACTGCTACAACATGACAGCTAAAGTTGCGTTCTTCGTTGATGCCATAAAAACAGGTTGCTCTACTTGGAGATGTATGGTGAGTTGGCTTTGATGTCTTTTTCTGATAACCAGTGCAGGCATGATTGTTACAGCTGGCGCGGGACACATGCATCACGACCACATTCCAAATGATTCCGGTGAGCTTCTGCTGTTGTAGTCACGATCGCTGCAATGTTGCGGAAAATTTGGCCTATGGGTGAGTCATTCTTCTGACATTTCACTTCCGCCATCGTTGAGAGAATGAAAATGTGCTCATTTAGGGCAGAAAAAAGTCAAAAATTCTAGAATTGTAATGCTTTTGGCGCTGTTATTAATAGTCATGACAGAACTTTTCGTTATGCTACTAGTTTCTACTTCTCAAGTGTTCAACTCTTTAAAGCATCATTGATCCATGATGCTTTGAAGAGTTGAACATCCATATCATCCATTCATCACTGATCTTTCTATATGACAGTGGTTACTAGTCGACACTCCAAACGGGCGATGCTTTAGGCTTTTAAGGATAAAACATGCTTGCTTTCAGTTGCTTCACATTTTTGTTGCGCAAATCTTTTGCTATAACTTCTAACTATGATTACTATTTGTATTGATGATGATCTCTGGTATAACATTTGTTTAGTAGCATTGCTGAAGGAAATGGAAGACTTGGTGAGGGTGGGAAAGACAGGTAAGTCTACGTTTGCTGGCTAGGTTCATTTCCTTTGCTGCCGCGCGCTTTGTTATGACATTAAGAAAGAAATGGATATACCAATCAATTTAGTAGCAACGTTGATGGAAACGCAGGAGCATGGGGAGGCGGAAATAACGATGGAGCCAAGTAAGTTCAACGCGTAAGAACCTCCAACAACCGATCTGGAAAAGAATGCTATTTGAATTTAGTCAAGACGGTTATGGTGATAATACTAACGATAACAATTTTAACGGATGGGGGAAAAGTAACGACGGGCAAAGGTAAGTCGCATGGAGTGCTAATAACGCAAATTTTTGCACATATACTTTCATCGAGTGAAACTTTAGATGCTTTGATAGATATCTTGTCTGCCAACACATTAAGGTGTTACTAATTTTTTATTCTCGGTAGCCGTCTTACCGAAACGATAAAATTTGAAAATGCTTTCTGCTCCAGTTTTTCTTGCTCATATTCTATTGTTCCCTTAAAAGGAAAGTAAATCAAAATCTTGTGCAGTGCATATATCATATACATCATCCTCTGAAAGTCAGTCCACAACGGACTCCAAAGAAATCACCACCACTTTAGTACCTTCACTCACAAAGGTGTAAAAGAAAGACTGTCCATAGATCGTTGGTCACAAGCTCAGAAATATTTAATAATTATTTATTTAGCGGCAACAATGGAGGAAACACAGGAGGATGGGGAAGAGGGGACAGCAGACGAACGTAAGTTTGTTCGAGCATAAATCAAGCGATCAATGATTTGGAAATGGCTAGGCTGAATTTAGGAACAATGGCTATGATGATAATAACAACAATAACTATAATGGATGGGGGAACAAATACGATGAGAAAACGTAAGTGAATTGCATGTAGAGTTAGAAGTATTTTTTTTATCAAACAGGACTAACTGCGTGAGTGTGTTGTATGCATTTGGCGCAATTTCAGAGACGTCAAAACGTTTCGAAAGCTTACCGTTTTTTTACTTGTTACAGAAACTAGCAGGAAAAAGACGTTTACTTTGAGGCAGTGATGGAACTTTCCATACCTTGCTGCGAAAGCCTACTATAGGGCAAAGCGCAATGACAATCTTACCATGCATGCAGGCTGCGCGAGCGTACTATACTTCTAAACTTGGCACCTCATTACGGTTAATAGAACGGTTCCCGCCCCTAGGTTTCTCCTTCGTCCAGCAATAAATCTTATAGTACCTCACCCAATATTTTTGTAAGGTTCAGTCGCCCATTCTGACTTATTTTTGATACTGGACTCATCCCAAAGGCCTTGAATTGAGTAAGTGTTTCTTTTCTAACAACAGCCCATGAGATCTCTTGCAGTAGTTTGCAGAGAATGAGGAAAAACTTCTGAAGTAAACGTGTTTTGATATTATCCTAATCATCATCTTCACTGATGTACTTTGACATCTCTTATCAAAGTTTTCTTATTTATCATGTCAAAAAAGCCATAAAATTACGGTAGCATTAACAAGTTACCTTCAGATATAGTTAAAGCATTATGCTTGGATACTGCCATACATGTTACTAGCTGGCTTACCCGGCTCCGCCCGGCCCTGTCAAAACACTATGATAAAGCTCCCATCCCTCCTGTACAATTTTCTGCCCATTCCTACATGCGAACTCTAACTACCCATTCCCGCTGTGTTAGTTATCAGCACGCTCACTTATCCTTGTGCGAATTCCAGCCCCCTAGTTCGAAACTTGCAAAAAATCGATAAAATCGATAAAACTAATGCCAAAAACTAATATCGTGTTCGTAATCAACATGCTCAATTACCCCCCCCCCCCCTTGTGCCAACTCCCAGCTCCGTAGGCCAAACTTTGCAATAAAATCGATAAAACTAATGGATAATTTTAAAAACTAATATTGTATTCGTAATCAGCGCTCAAACATTATACATAACAATATCTTACCACTTTAGTAACGAGTTTAGTGTTTTGACTTGCGCATAAAACGACACATTTTACGGCACTACCTCTTATAGACCAAGAACTCAAAGCCATATTGCTCGGAACTTATTTCAGAAGGGTTACTCGACCAGATGCCGAATGTTTTGTTGATTTCGCATGGTAGCACCTTTTCTAGCGTTACGGTAGGTATATTAGTTGGGTCCAAAAGTTCGTACCGTTTTTAGACCTATCCTTAAATTATTCAGAATAACGATAGACAGACACTCTAAGCATTGTTTCATTCAGAATTTTTTCTCTTCTCAGCAGTGATTTTTGTTCCGATTGTTTTGATGTCCGCTTGAAGAATCATCACAATCTCCAACCCATATGTACATTTTACGTACCCTAACTTACCAAAGTTTTCTCCAGGAATGGTATCCACCAAAGTTCATAATGGAGGAAAATGGACTTCCAAACCCCATTTTATTCGTTCGCGGTAGAAACTGGTCGATCTGCTTTCACTAGTGTTATCCAAAAAATTTTTATCTTATCGCAACCACGAGGCGAAGCGGTTGACGAAAATGATTCAGCCCTTCTTGAGCTCTCGCTTGCGAAAGAACCATGCGAAAAGTCCATTTAGAATGGGACAAAGTGGGATTTACCTCCATTTCAAATGGACTTGAAAGCCCATTTACTTCCAGCAGCAAGGTGAGCTAGAACTAAGCCCATTTTTGACCTTTTCGCGCATTTTTGATTGCGATTTTTTGAGAACGCGTTCCTTAGCCTATCTTGAGTTAATAAATGAGTGGAAAAAGTTTCATGCCTTTTATGAAGTCTGAAATAAGTGTTTCTTTCTTGACTCATACAAACGCTATGAAAATTATGAAAGAAAGGTCAAATTCACCAAAATATTCGCGAACGAACTCAGATGTTTCTAAATATGAGGCCGCTGCGAAAATTCCTATGTAAATCAAATAAAGTATGTTAACTCTTCAAATCATCAACCAAAACTAAATTCATGATTTGTATATAAAAATAAAAAAGTTGCGTTCTAATATAATTACTCAGAAGCTATTTTTTGACTAATCTCGTAGAACCGAAGCTTAAAGACAGCATTTCAATAGTAATTTTGAGCTTGATCGCAAGAATTACTGAAATGGAGTAGCTAGCAAGAAAATTTCTGTGAAAAATTTCTTACTAGCAATAGTCCATACATTCAACTACTTAGAGATAAATTAATGCTGAAAGATAAAGGGAGCCAAAGTAGAACGTTTGCAAAGTCATCGTTTGCACACTCATAGTTTTTCCGACTTAAAAACCCTGGGTTGTAGTGTAGTGCAAGGTTTCCTAGGAGATAGGCATTTTGACTCACAAATTGCAGTGCAAGTCCAGTCAAAATTTGCTTTCTGCAGATCCATAGAAGTCTTGAGAAGCGAGGGTCCGGATATTATATGATTTTTAGTTTTGGAGGTGATTTAGATGCATACTCATAGATAATAAAGAGCATGAAATATCCACGTGAGTGTCATTGTGATTTTAGATCAGCCTAGTTAGATGTCGACCACTTGGTGGAAATGAGTTTGCAAGACTAATCTTCAGCGAAACACCGAAAATAGATGGTTTGGAACTCTATGTAGGGTGTTTTTTGCGTAACAAGACCGCTTTTGATCCTTATCATATCTTCAACATTTTATATTTGCATATTAGTAGATAGCAACATAACAGCTTCAACTGAACGCTTTAGCACAATATATCCTCGCTTGCCTTCGGATTCCGGCTCTAGAGGTAGCTGGTGGGATCCAAAGCAAATCAAGGATAAGTTCAACGACTTCGACGTTGACAATCGAGAAGACGATGCCGGTTAGTTTTATTTTATTTTTGATCGGTACAATCAACTGCAACTGCGGCAGAAGAAATAAATGAAAGTGTGGTAAAAAGGTAGTGGTAAAAGTTTTATTTTGGTTTTGTCTGATTAACGACTGCGCAGCACATAATGTGTCACGCAGTGACTACCGTTTTGAAACGCCTGATCACACACATGGTGTGACGTAGCTGAACACATTGAAGTGGCCACCCTATGGAACAAATTCACCTTAAAGGTTCGAGCGTGCTCTGAAGCGGAGATATGTTAGATTTCACAGCATCTTTTTCTAAATTCACGGTAGGCGTACAGTAGATAACATCATGAGCTTGATGATCAAGCAACTTGCAATCAATATAGTCTTTTCACTTACTATATAGACTTAGACGGTAGGTTTGGTAGATAGTGTAAAGTATCAAAATTTAGTTTCAATTGATTCGGTTGCAATAATCGAAATCAGCGTTTCCCCTAAGGCCTAAGGCACACCTCACGCGATTCGGCCGAATCGCCACTTTCACGCGACTTGGCGATTTGCCAGATTTCTCCAAATTTATCGTGCGCGCTTCTCGGATGCATATTTGGGTACCTTGTGTATGTTGCTGAAAATGAAAGTTCTGACCAAAGACAGCGCATTAACGACGAATTATGAAGAGTCGCTGTTGTGCCAAATCGCGCAGCGACCGGAATCGCGCGAGGTATGCCTTAGGCCTAAATCAATAATGACCTCGATTTTCTAAAAACCAATAGATTTCTGTAGGTTTTGAATAGCAAGCGGGTGAGAGGGCAACGTGTTTATATTGTGGAATCATTAGGATTTGCAACAAATAATCGAACGTCTTATTATGCAGTTACATTTTCCACGAATTTGAAAAGAGAAAACTTTGCGCGAGAGTCCTTAACAGAAATTCTAATGTCTTCCTTGCCGACAAACATCACAACGATATACCTACATCAGTTATTTTTCAAAATGATTTATTCTTGCATAGTGTGCAAGATCTCACAACTGTGTAAAAACTGAAGGGCTTTTTGGACAATAATTCTTTACGTCATTTTTCGACAAATAGATTTAGTCTGAAAATATGGCATTTCACTCTACAAGCAAGCAGGGCCATACCACACAGCGTGCAAATGAGTGGTGGTTTGCATAAGTTCACGAGCATTAGCTTGAAAACGCTGTTGTTTGCACGATTTGGAACTCCTTCTTTCATACGATGTACACCTTTCATATTAGGATGATGTACACCTTTCATAATAGGATGTTACATAAAATTATTACAGTGGACTGAAAAAGTCTTCATAACTTTGTCATATGATTTTTCCTTATCTCTAACCTATGTGTAATGTTGAGATTTTTGATTTGTACATGTCACACATAAAAAATCAAGTTTTCGAATTTTTCGAAATTTTTTCGAATTATTTTCGGCAAATTTTCAATTTTGGTTATTGAAGAGCTTGAACATCCAAACTGCCCAGTGGTTACTATCAATGCTCCGAAGTACATAAAAATACTAAAAAGTTGGAAAAGAAAAATAGGAGTTTTTTGAAAATAAGGAAGAAAATAAAGGTTAGCGTGCCTCTATAGATTTGCCTTTAGATCTACTCTAATTCATGTGTGAGGGCATAAATGGTGCCAGCCGATAGCCCTTTATTCCTTCCCCATATATGCCAAATATGAGATCTTGCCGAATTTTCTAGAGTTTTTCAGAGGAAGACGAAAAAAGTGTAACAAAACTTATTTAACAACCTAATATATGAGAACTAAAGCAGGCATGTTACTTTTCGTCCACCCCCCCCCCCCTTCCTTGCGAAATTCTGCAGAGCGCACGCGCTCCACACATCCTTCCTTTTCTAGCAATTCATTTGAACCTTAAACAGACCATGTAGCCTTTGGCCGAAAAATAAAAAGAGTTAGCTAAAATTGGGTATACCCTGCGCCTAACGATCCAGTTCTCTTAAATATACTTAGGCGTCAAGTTGCCAGCATCAAGCTAGCGCCATTTCAGCTCAAGGGATTAAGACAGGTCCGTCCACATAGGCTCTGACACGGCGCTAACACACTGGAATTTTTGGGAGAGGTGTAACTTTTGTCGCAATCGGGTTCAGCCGAAACGTTAGAGTAAATTTGTGCACTCGTGATGCCAGAGGTTTTACGCTACATATGACGCTATGGGAGAGCGAGAGATTGTGGGGGGTGGCAGGTGTGCTATTTGTAGACGTGATGCAAAGTCGTAGCGGTGAGGATGCGCACCGAATTTTTGGTCTGATCCGAATTAGAACAAATTGGAAAACGTCGGAAGGCAACCCATTTTTTGCATGCACTCATTTTGCTAGTTTCCGACTGCTAAAGTGGATAGGTTGTGAGGTCGCGATGAAGAATTTATCGATGGTGATTGTCTTGGGGTAGCAGTTAAATGGAGGGACTTCAGATTCTTGATCCCTCTGGACGCAGTCTCAGTAAAAGAGTTGACTGAGTTTTGGCAGCGTTTTCCTGACGCCTTCAGCATCGCATTTCAATGGAATTTTTGTTTCGATGTGAGCACTAAGTGTGGCATGCTGCATACGTTGGGTGGAGCAAAGCAATCATTACACGATTTTGGTAGGCAGGAGATTACCATTGTTTTCTATGCCCAGATAATAAGATTGTGCATAAAAGACCCGTAGAGTGTAAATCATGAGCGTGATTTCACTGTTTGCTTTATCCCGCAGTGAACTTCTTGTGCTGCAAAAACTACCTAATACTAATACCTAATTAGGTCGTTTCATAATTTTGTAGAGTTTTAATAAGCTGATAAAATGGCAGAATTTTGTCAAAATTCAGTCAACGTGTATGTTCCGTTGGCGATAACCTTCTGCCACCTTGCCTTTTCTATTCAGTTGAGTTTTGTAAAAGCTCAGGCAGTCTGGTCTTAACTTGTCTACCCAGTGCTTAAAGGCAGCGTACACCCAAAACAAATGCAACAGATGTTGCAACAGCAACTGCAACTGCAATTGCAGCTTACGCTGTTATGGATACTTCCGGAGGAGGCGGAGCGAAAGAAAAGGGGCGGCATGAAAGGAAATTGAAGGGGGTTTTCTCCGCTCAGAAGCAACATTGGGAGACCGGACCAACGCAGTTGGTCTTCTTCTGGGCCCAGTATATACACGGTGTAGAAAAATCTTGGAAATTCGGTAACTCAAATTTTGGGTGTACGCTGCCTTTAAGTTCAAAAACAAAGCAAACGCCGTTCAAACGAGCGATAGTCTAGAGCAAGCTATAACTTTTTAAAGCGAAATCTTAGCTGCGCATGGTATGCTAATGTATTTTCCGATCAAGTCTTGACTGCATTAGCGACGCTTACCGTACGCAGCCATATTTTGGCGTTCAGGAAGACCCTGTAGACATTATACCGGGTCTTTTCTGCAGCATAGCTTCATTCAGACGATGTAGGTGAATTGCCCAGGGTATGGTCTACGTTTTGTTTTATCCAGCAATTTCCGGCACAGGACTTTCTGCCTATCCCGCTTGAATTCTTGTTTGGGAGACATTTTATCTGACTCTTACCCTTTTGAGCCATCATATTGACGAACGCTATTTCTCATAGTCAACAAAAAGTCTCTGCAAAAACGCTCCTTTTTATGAAAAAAATGCGCAGGTGTCTAGAATGCTCCATTTTGGGTTTCCGATTTTCTTGGAAGCGTACAAGTCGAAATAGATCAGTTTTCATCAAAAGCAGTAGGCTAACTTGAAGGAGCATGCTTGACTCTTAACAATGATGTGTGCACCTCGCGCAAATCGGCAGCTCATCAGAGAAATGAGGACGAGAATAAACTAAGGAACTTACAATAGGAAATGACCTTATATTAGGTTGGCACGAAAGTTCTGTCGCACCATTTTCAAGAATTCATAACTTCTGATTTTTCCAATCTATTTGACTGCTTTTAAATTTGTTTGAAAGAGTAAGTCATGCTCTTTATAAAGACATCTTAGACGCTTACAAATGATCATCAGTTGCATAGATAGGAGCGAGAAAATTAGTCAAAATTTGAATTTTCTGTGTAGGGTCATAAAAAATCGGAAACTTGCAGCAAAACTCGGAGCAGTCGGTATTGTAGGTTCTTTCACCAGTTCTTTCTAAGTGTACAAAGTTTGCGCTGATTGAGCGTTCCTATGAAAAGTTATGATTTTCCCAAAATGCCAAAATAAATCAAATTCGCCCTTTTGTATTGCATGCATCATTCATAACTTTCCATAGAGACGCTCAGTCGACGCAAACTTTGCACTGTTAGAAAGAGCTGGTGAAATAACCTACAATAACGACTGCTCCGATTTTTGTTGCAAGTTTCCGATTTTTTATGACCCTACACAGAAAATTCGAATTTTGGCTAATTTTCTTCTACCGCTCTTATCTATGCAACAGATGATCATTTGTAAGCAACTAAAAGGTTGTTATAAAGTGCATGACTTACTCTTTCATACAAAAGTAAAAACAGTCAAATCGGTTGGAAAAATCAGAAGTTATATTTTTGAAAATGGTGCGACAGAACTTTCGTGCCAACCTAATATAATTCACAGCATAAAGTTCACCCTATGAGCTGTAATGAAATACATTTAGGAGGAGACGAAGTGTTCGAAAAGGTAGATGTACGCTTTACGACTAGACCTCCACGAAGACTTCCCTCGTATAATAAAGCACCGGGCATCTCTACAGGCCGGCAGGGAAGTACAGGAGGCGAAGGAAGAGAAATTGAACTTGATGTTTGATCTTTATCGATTCTGAATCTTGCTGATAATCGTTCACGCCATACATCTATCTAATGCTGTAAGTACTGAATGCCATATAGGCACTATATGCATCTTTTGATGCTCATCAATTACTAGCCTGTAATCTTCATATTACATATTTTCGGTATTCTTCTTCTAGAGAAAACCGTGTTACTATCTAATAGTTTGCTGAGCGGGTAAAAAAGCGATCACAAGAATTGCTGAGCAATAAAAGTGTTTGTTTTTATAGTCTTTGAATTTGTCTCCATGTCCCTCCGCTTAATTAAAAAACAATCTCATGCTAAGTTTAAATTAGATAACTATGCGATAGATTTGAAAAGGTCACTTGCTGCGAAAAGAAGTTCAATGTTCGAATGGAGCAAGGCCAGATGCGCAACACATTTTGGAGCGTTGCTATTATTGTTAAACTATAGTAGACAACAAGCTTTACATCAACACTTTCCTCTTTTCTTGCCATCAAAAAGTTTGTGGTTAAAATAGTCTAAGCACATATATCTAGATTGCGCATCAGTACCTTGGTACCGTATTAGCAGCCTTCACTGAGTGCTTAGAAAAGGTGCTACTTCTAGCCAAACGTAAGCAAACATCTTCCACTGCGAACAAGTCGAGCAATCCGCTTTGATTCTGTATAAACCACCCAGCATTCGTTTCCTGCTTTGGGCGTGATATAAAGGCCCTACTAAACATAACGTGCTACATATTCGCACTTAGCGTGTCAAAAGTCCTGTGGACCAAGTTCTAGCAAATTCTGCTTTAATTACAGGGTGTCGCAAACGTAAATGTACACTTTTTAATCGATTATAATTCACTTCCCAGAGCCTTTTGTTTACAAGGGAATGATGGCCAATTTAAATAACTGCATACCATCACATGCGGCATAAAACGCTGGCTGCGAACATGTGTTCCATATCTTAGCGCCTATTGGGCGAAGGTATGAGCCGTTAAAGGAATTGCTTTGCTCTCTTATTTTGCTAGGAAATCGTGCATGCAAAGCGCAAAGGCAGTACAGAGCCATGCCCGGCTTAATGCTGGGCAAAAACATGCAGCTAGATTACCTATCCTCAAAGCATAAATGCGAGCTGAGAGTGCAACAATGTGCTCAATTTCGCAATTTTTATAAAGATTTTTTTGAAATAAAACTGATCATAACTTCGTCCACAAAGGCTCTAACCAGATATGAAATACATATCCGAACTCAGCGTTGAATGCTGCATCGAATGGTGTGCAGCTTGCTTGGATCGGCCACTTCGACTTCTGATCATTCCCTCGTTAGTTCTAAGCCCAGTTCGGTAGAGCAGGCACTGATTTAGACCTATACTATGGAGCAAGTCCCATAGCTCCTCAAATCTGTAAAACTACGATAGGAATTTTGAAGAGAGTTTTGTTTGACTAGATATTGCCAAAGAATGGATACTCAGTGAGCCGAGAATCTTAACAGTAGCTAAATTGGGTCGCTAATTTATGATTCTGAAACTCTTACTTATTCGGAACGCTTTTTTCATATTTGTCAGGTATACCGCAACAACACTTTCACACTTTAAACCTTCGTATACTCGAAACAATGAATTACTCTTTTTCCAAGCTCGACAAAATGACCACCATAGATCCACCTAAGCCATAATCCAGGTAAAGTTCGAAGCAAAAATCGAAAAACTTATCACCTATAAATAGGCTTTTTGCGGAAAAATCCTACGGGCCTCAAATTTGGTCGTTATACAGCAGACACATAGTAGTACTCAGTTATTCAGTATTGTCCAAGTTCGACTGTCGCTTAATCTCGGCATGTTGTTGCTTGTTGTGGTTTGCTTAGCTGGACACCGGGATTGGTATATCCTTTATTTGACTAACGTTTCGGCGATATCGCCTTTTTCAAAGTCTGAAATCATCGAATGTAATTCCAATGTGCTAGGAAAACAAAAGCAGTTTGATTTATTTAGAAATACGGTTTACCTTTGGGACAACCTAATACATCCATTACAGCATGAAAGCGAAGCTTGCAAATTTGAAGAACTGTGCCTTTGGAAATTTGCACTTATTGAGGCATAAGTGTCCTTCAATGACATTAGAGAATTCTTTCAGTTGATATGTGATAGTAGAAGCTTCGGAGTACTTTTCTTTAAAAAAAATTCATGTATAAAACAACAAGAAAAGTTTTTATGAAGATTTGAAGGTAAGAACATAATTATTTAGCTTAAAGGTAGTGGCTTCAATATGCCATTTATTCCGGCTCTTACCGGACTCACTGAGGGAACTACGTACAAACAGTTCAAGATGTTCATTTGTTTCCATTTACTAGCAACTAAAAACTGTCAAAATTCTCAGCGAGGATAACACTGGTAGGCAGTTTTGGAACAACGAAACTCCATTAGTAGGAAGCTCAGGTTTCAAAAACGAAAACAGGTGCGATTTGTGAAAATCTTTTAAGACATTCTTTCACTTTACATTGTGTTCAACGGCAGCGCAAAAAGACTTTAATTATTATAAGAGAAAGAAGTTACGATTATCTGAAAATACTGCGAACGAACTTTCGGTTCAACCTCAGATAACAGGGAGAAATTTGTGTCAGTGTTTATAACAGAACAAACTTCATTAGAATGTGCAGCTTTTACAATCTGCGCATTTTAATGATGGAAAGTTAGTAAACAGGTGCATAGGAAAGTGTCAGATTTTTTCTTGCAAAATGCAAGAAATTACATCTCTAATCATCTCATCCGACTGTTCAACCGCTGCACTCACTATGTATTTTCCAATTTTCATAGACTAATTTTCTCAGAAATTGGTTCTTCCAAATGTCCTGCACAACCCTCAAAAACTCTTCTTCTTCTTCTTCTTTATCTTCGCCATTGTCCCGCGGGTGCAGGGTCGGCGGTGGTGCATTTTTGCTTCCATTTGACTCGATCAGCTGCTTCTTGTGGTTTAAGCTTTGCAATGTGCAGGTCGTTTCGAATGGTGTCCAACCAGCGTTGCTTCGGACGGCCACGTGGTCTCTTCCCCTGTGGATCTAGACGAAGTGCTGTTTTTGCTACTGTATTATCTTCACTTCGTAAAACGTGACCATACCATCGTAATCTGGCACCTCGCATCTTATCCGCGATAGGTGCAACTCCAAAATTGTGTCGTACATCGTCGTTCGTGACGCAGTTTCTTCTCGTTAGGCCAAGTATCCATCTTATCATTCGCGCCTCCATCGTGCTCAGGATCTGCTCGTGTTTTCTTGTTGCTGGCCAACATTCGGCTCCATACAATGCGACTGGCCTCACCACAGTCCGATACACTTTCGACTTGAGATACAACGGGATTCGTCGGTCGCAGAGTACTCCTGTTACTTGCCGCCATTTTAGCCACGCCGCGTTCGTCCTAGCACGAGCATCAGTGATCGTGTCGCAGTCCGACGTCACTCGGGAGCCCAGGTATTTGAATGTCGTGACCTTCTTCAGCGGCTGCTCATCGATGTTAATTGTGCCATCGGTTTGCTCTCCGCATTCCAGGTACTCGGTCTTTGCTACGTTCAGTCGTAGGCCATATTCCGCTAATCGTGTCTTCCATCTCACTGTCGCCTCTTCAAGCTCTTGTCTCGATCCGCTTGCTAGCTCGACGTCGTCTGCGTAAAGGAGCGTCCACGGATGCGGCTGCTGGATGTCCTTGGTCACCGTGTCCATGCACAGTATAAAGAGAAGCGGTGATAGAGCCGATCCTTGGTGTACTCCGACTTGGATTGGGAATGGCGTTGACGTTCCCACTGCACAGCGTATGACGCCCGTCGTGTTCGTATAGAGGAGTTTGATCCAGCGAACGTACTCTTCTGGGACGTCGTGTTGTCTCAGCGCATACCAGATCAGCCCGTGTGGTATCCGATCAAATGCCTTTTCTAAATCCAGGAATGCGAAGTGAATCGGAATCCGTTTCTCCAAGTGCCTTTCCATTAGCAATCGTACCGCATGAATGGCGTTGATGGTTCCAGATCCTTTTACAAAGCCGCATTGATTCGGGGTGACCTCCACTACACTTCGAATGCGTGCGTCGATGACTCGTTCGAAGATCTTCATCGTGTGGCATAGCAAGCGTATTGGTCGATATGTTGAACAGTCGCTGACGTCGCCCTTTTCCTTCCAGATAGGGACTGTAACACTCGTATTCCAGATTCGCGGCAACTGTCCGTCTACGATAATGCGGTTAAAGAGCGATGTGAGATATGCCGCTCCACGCTGCCCCATCATCTTCCACACTTCAGCAGGTATGTCGTCGGGTCCCGGAGCTTTTCCGCTAGACATCTTCCTCAGTGCCTGCACAACTTCTGCTTCCTCGATCCGAGATACCGGTCCAAGTGTGGGGGCTCCTTGCGGTACTAACGGGTGCGGGAACTCTTCATTAAATAGCCCTTTGTAGTACTCACTCCACCGCTTGAGTATTGCCCTCGGCTTCGTCAGGAGGTTGCCCTCTGCGTCCTTAATGTGCATGACGTGGTCGATGTCCTGCTTCGCTCGATGTCGTGCAGCGGCCAGTCGGTAGACCTTGTTCGCTCCAGCAGGTCCTTCCAGCTCGTCTTAAAGTCTCTTGTAGTGTGCTTCCTTTGCTTCGGCTACCGCGTGCTTCGCCTTCGAGTTCTCTTCTCGATACCGACGGAGGTCTTCATTTGAGTGTGAGCGTTGCCAGGCTTTGAAAGCTTCTTTCTTCTCCTTGATCACTTGCTGGACTGACTCAGACCACCACCAGATCTGCTTGTCTACAAACCGACGTCCTGGCTTGGTGGTTCCCAAAATTGTCTCGGCCGTCGATCGTATCTGCGAAGTAATCCGATTCCATTGCTCTTCAATCGACTCTTTATCATCCGTCGACACCCTCAAACCGTTAAGAGCATCTCTGACTTGCTGGCGATGTTCGGCGAGCTTCCACCATTTGATCCTCTTCGTAGTCGTCCTTCTGGCTCGTGAACGTAAGTGGATGTTCAGTCGAAGATCCAATACGAGCAACCGGTGTTGTGGCGCAAATGCATGTGTCGCCGTGGGTATAACCTTCGCATTCATCACCATCGGCAAGTGGCATCGGCGCAGCATCCAGTAGTCGATCTGAGTTGAGCGGTCTCCACTCGCGTACATGAT